CTGAGTGGATAGAAGAGGCACCCAGGAGCAGGTGCCTCAGGCTGCCAGACAAGCTTTTTATGGGAGATGGAGAGAGGGAGGTTCATGTTTTCTGGAGCAGGATATGGACAGAGCCACACAGGCTGGAGTGTCTCAGCCAGGCTGTCACAAGCTTTGAAGCTTCTCAGCTGACAGCCAGGACTCGGGTGTGTGGGTTGGACTTGAGGCCAGAGGGTTCTATTCTTTCCTGTGGAAACCACAGCCTTCAAATGGGAGGAGGTTGGGGAGAAAGTGTAAAGGAAAAGAAACAAACCGTGAAGGAAGAGGGGATGAGTGACCTCCCTGTGGAGACCTCCACGGGTCTCTGGGAGCCCTGACCACAGACTGGGGGCTCTGTCAGGAGCCTCTCCTTCATTCTTCCTTGGTTCAGGTTACTCCAGTCTTAAGTTGTGTCCCCTTTTCTTCCCCTTCCTAATCCCTGCTACCACTGTCACTTTCCCTTCGTGGCACTTGTCTGTGAATGCTCTCTGCTCCCACTGCTTCACAATACTGTGGCATAGCTGGTGAAGCCGCTGTGAGCACACAGCACAATGCCTGCCTCCTGGCACGAACTTCCTATTGTTACGTCAATAAATATCCATCTGAATCTGCACCCCATCCACTCCTGTTCTCAGGAGCTATTTCAGAGATCTAGAACCTAGATCTTTTTGGCAGTGTCCAGCCCAAAGAATTCAGCAGAAGAAAGAGTGATGGATACCTAAGACTCCAGGAGTATGTTATCTCCCCTAAAATACACTTCAAGATAGGAAAGCAGTGGTTGTGTGTTTTGTTTTGTCTGGAGAAGATGGATGGGAGCTGGGTGTCTGAGAGCTCTTCCCACACTGATGGAGCCTGTGTGTTTTGCCTTCTGTGAACAGGACGGTGATTTCCCACACCAAAACCTTGGACCCCTCTCGGCCTGTGACCTTTGTGACCAACTCCAACTACGCAAAAGACCAGGGGGTGAGCCTGGGGGTCTCCATGCTGCTGCATCTCCCCTGCTTTGCTTGAGCATGAACTGCTGGGAAGAATCATGGCTAGCCATTCACTGTTCACAGAGAGTCTTAATTTTTTTTTGGAGACAGGGTTGCTCTGTGTCGTAACTCACAGCAACCTCCACTTCTTGGGCTCAAGTGATCCTCTTGCTCAGGCTGGTCTTGAACTCCTGAGCTCAAGCGATCTACCCGCCTTAGCCTCCCAGAGTGCTGGGATTACAGGTGTGAGCCATCGCGCCCAGCCCACAGAGTCTTCAGGTTAAAGATTGCTCACTAACTGCATTCTTGCCAGGCAGTATGGCTTCTTAAATCCAAGAAGGCTGGACATAGGGAGATGAGATTTGTTCTCAGTTTGGACTTGGTGTTTTTTGCCTCATTTTAATTCTCTATATCTCAATTTAATAACTCCTAAAATGGAAGATTTTTAAGGGAGCTTAAAGTTCATGTGGTTCAGTGTTTCTCAAACTTGGCTGATTGTCTGAATCACCAAGGGCAGTTTTTTCACAGTACAGATCTCTGGATTCTGAAATTCTCATTTAGTAAGTCCAGGGTAGGACTTACTAAAGTTTGTAGAAAGCTTCTCAGTGATTCCATTGATGAAGCAGCTTTGGGAACCACTGATGCAGCACCACAGATTGAGAATCGAAAAGACAGGCACACACGGCCTGCTGGGGCAGAGCTAGCTGCAGCCCAGGCCTTTCCTCTGCAGCCCATGGCCTTCCTTACTGCCTTAGGGATCACTGGCCTGGACACAGCAGCCCCCCACCGGAAGCTACATGTTGAGTTGCATGGACGGGGTAAAATGTGAGAGCAACAAAATGCTCCTTCCTTGGGGAAACTGAAGGGAGGAATACTTAAGAAAAAAGAGTTACAGAAAGAGAAGTCATCTAAAGATAGCAGATGAGAAACAGTATGTACAAGAAAAGTTGTGCATGCCATCATTTGAACGTAGATAGAGGTTTGGCAGCCTTTGCCATGTCTCAAGAACATCCACCTCAAGGATAAAGTCTGTGGAAAACACGAGGTACACTTGGATGTTCTTGTACCCCAAGTGGTATCTCTCCCCATTCCAGTCTCTTAGGTGACCGGGAAGGCTTTGGCTGGGCGCCCTGAGCCAGGTCTCCTTGGCAGAGGCCATACTCACCTGGTGGGATCTGTGCTCCATCAATAGCATGTCCCCCTGAGCCTCCTGCTTCCTTTTCCTGTCTACACCTTCCTGTCACCACAGTCTAAACACTGGCTTTGGAGATTAGTGTCCTTAATAGAAGTATGTTCAGATGACATTAGAAACTAGCCAGTTGGACACAGAAGCTTTTGCTGCTCAGCCCTGAGCACCGATTGGTTTAGGCTCCAGGCAGTCCCCTCCCCACCCCCCCTCCCCGTCATCTATGGTGCTCTCCTTAGAGGGAATCTTCCAGCCACTCTGTGTGCCGCCCCCAGCACTGCCTTGTGAATGCTATGGGGAATCAAGACTTTTGGGGGAAAGGCCAGTGTGGTGGCTCACACCTGTAATACTAGCATTGTAGGAGGCTAAGGCGGGTAGATCCCTTGGGCTCAAGAGTTGGAGACCAGCCTGAGCAAGAGTGAGACCCCATTGCTACTGAAGAGTAGAAAAAACTAGCCTGGCATTGTGGTGGGCGTCTGTAGTTCCAGGTACTCAGGAGGCTGAGGCAAGAGAAGCCCTTGAGCTCAAGATTGAAGTTGTGGCTCAGCGCCTATAGCTCAACCGGCTAAGGCGCCAGCCACGTACACCTAAGGTGGTGGGTTCGAATC